AGCCCCAGCCCCAGCCTCTGCCGACTCCCCGGAGCAGCACTTCGCAGGGCTGCACGCAGCCCTGTGTGACACCATCTCGGACTCCGTGGCCCACTCCCCACCTGAGAAGCTACGTGAGTGGCTTGAAACAGCTGAGCCTTGGGGCCGGGCAGCGTGGCAGGACTGCCAGGGTGTTCAGGGACTGCTGCGTAAGCTGCTATCACAGCTGCAGAGCTTCGTGGGCACCCATCAGTGCCCCTTCCCTCATGTGGTACGAGCTGGTGCCATCTTTGTACCCATCCACCTGGTGAAGGAACGGCTCTTCCCTCGGCTGCCCCCTGCATCTGTGGACCACGTGCTGCAGGAACACCGTGTGGAGCTGCGACCCACCACACTGTCGGAGGAGCGGGCGCTGCGGGACCGGGCCTTACATGGCTGCTCATCGCGTATGCTGAAGCTGTTGGCCCTTCGCCAGCTACCGGACATCTACCCTGACCTGCTGGACCTGCAATGGCGGGACTGTGTCCGCCGCCAGCTGGGTGAGCATGGGGCAGCCCCTGTAGCCACCAGAGCTGTGTGAGAGCAAGTGACAGGTGTGTGAGTTGTGTGAGTGGGTCACTGCTGGGGTCTGGGTGACTCTTGGTCCTAGGCCTTCGGGAAGGCCAGTGGACCAGAATTTGTGCCTAGCAGTAGAGGGCAGGTTTTCAGGGTGGGCTTTACGTCTAGGGCTCCTTTATGGGCCTCTGAGCAGGCTCAATTGCTCAGTCCCTGTGGAAGCTTCCCTCACTTTCTTGGATTCCCCTTTCTGCTTGTGCTTTCTCCATCTTTGGTGGGGCTTTTCCTTTGGTCTTGCTAGGGTTCTGGCCAGACCTTGGTTTCTATCTGTGTCCATCCCAGTCTCCCTTCTTCTGAATTCTAGCCCTAAGATCCTACTGGATGGTTGCCTCTGGCGATCTCTCTAACACTTCCAAAATCACACTTCAAGCTTTCTGTAAGCCCACTTCCCACTTCAGTCTTTGCCATTTCAGTAAAACCTGCTGGGGTCCCACCTTCCTACGTATCTTTTTCTAACTCTTTTTAGGTGTGTGGTGGTGGTGATGTGCCGTAGAGTCAGAACCAACTCATAGTGACCCTGTACAGGGTTTCCAAGGCTATAAACCTTTACGGGAGCAGAAAGCCTCATCCTTCTCCCGCAGAACAGCTGGTAGTTTCGAACTGCTGACCTTGCGGTTCGCAGCCCGATTCGTAACCACTATGCTACCAGAGCTCCTTCTTTCAGTCGTGTATATACACAGTGTCTTGGTTGTCTAGTGCTGCCATAACAGCACTACCACACAGAGATGGCTTCAAAGAACACAAAATTATTTTCTCATAGTTCAGGAGACCAGAAATCTGGATTCAGGGCACCGGCTTTAAGAGAAGGCATTCCCCTGGGCTCTGAAGGAAGATCCTTGTCCCTCTTCAGCCTCTGTAGCCCAGGTGCCTGGGTTCCTTGGCGATTCTCCCCTCACCTAGTATCTGTTTTCCCCAGTATGTCCTTATGTGTTTCTGTCTCTCTGCTGCTCTTTAGAACTCAAACATGATTAGGTTAGGACATACTCTACACAGTTGTTGTTGTCAGGTGCCATCGAGTTGGAACTGAGTCATAGCGACCCCATGCACAGCAGAACGAAACAATGTCCGATCCTGGGCCAACCTCACTACTGCCGCCACACTTGATGCTTCCTGGCCGATCCATCTTGTTGGGGGTCTTCCTCTTTTTCTCAGACCCTCCACCTTACCCAGCATGACATCCTTCTCCAGCGACTGTTCTCTCCG